ATTTTCCTTCTAAGTTTCGGCTTCATGTTCCTCCTCCACTGGAACTGCACTGAGGGGTAAAAGTGCTTGTAGAGAGCTCTAAAAACGACCTGGGGTGTCAGCCAGAAACATCTGGTGCTTTTTTATCCTTGCAGATTAAATTGACTAAAGTTAACTCCTAATAGCTTCCCAAATGGCTTCATAACGAAGTCGGGGAGGCTGCCGGTGTCGGTGCTGGTGCCGTGTCCCCAGGGGCAGTGGTGACACCAGCCAGTGTCCCCTCTCTCGTCCTGGGCAGCCAGCGGCGCAGCCCCTTGGAGCGGAGGACGCTGATGAAGTCCCAGCTGGAGTCTGTCAGGGATTGCTAATTGTTGCCATTTATAGCACATGAAGTATGAATTTTAGGAAGATCTGGGCTTGCCCTGCTGTGGAAATAAGCGCTTTGGAGAGCAGCAGCTGCCACTGACTCTGGCCGTGGTAAAACAGAACCCGAGGGTGTCAGGATGGGAAGAGTTGTGATCTGTGGAAGAAATGTAATGTTGCTTGTGCACAGCATTGGCTGGGAAAGTGTTTGAGTCCCCACAATAGGTTTCTCCTGCAGTTTCGCTCTGTTCTGAATTAAGTGGTTCTACACCAAGTTTTTCCCCTGTTAACTAATGAAAAATAAGTCTGTTGTTATATTAATTTGCTGGTAGGTTAGAACAGCTCGTTTTAATCATGTGTTTAAAGTTGATTTCTGATGCAGCTTTCCTCAGAGTTGGGGTGTCAGTCACTGTGCACAAGAACTATTAAACTCATGGTTATTTTAGAAATTAGTTGGGAAAAAAAACCGAGCAGAAGTGAGGGGATTGAGAACTACGTGACTTGAAGGCCTCTGGTTTACCTTGGTAACATGGAAATCTTTTGAACTTTGTTTTTAGGCTAAAAAGCTGTAAACTTGGAAATCTGTGTTAATGATTCCCAGTGAAAGAAGTGAGAAATAAATGCAAACTTCTTTTTTTCCTTCTTCTTTTTTTTTTTTTTTCCCTTTCCCAGCAAAATCGAGTAGGAAACTGACTTTCCTATACTTGGCAAACGATGTCATCCAGAACAGTAAGAGGAAAGGTCCTGAATTCACTAGGGAATTTGAATCTGTTCTTGTGGATGCTTTTTCTCATGTTGCCAGGTATGTTGGTTGCCATGTTGTGTATTTCTTCAACTTTTCTCTTCAGAGATTTACATTCTTGTTTAATTCAATTGGATTTTGTTTTTTTAAGCCTCAGGGATGCTTGTACCCTCTCTCTAGTAGAGACTGGGTTCCAAGCACTTTGTTTCTCGGAGCTGTTCAGTGTTAATATTTCTCTTTGGGGAAGCTTGTTTGTGTGAGTCAGCCCCTCACTCACAGCTTTACACATTTGTTCCCTGCAAGCAGCTCTGAGGTACTTGATTTTGTTACCAAAAGATCTCACAGATCTGTTCGTGGGTAGTGAGACTGAATAGTTGCATGTGTTTATTAAAGCCACAGAGTGAATGGCTCTTCCTTGTTGTCAGAAGACTTTAAAAAAGAGCTGACTGATATTGTGGATTCCCAACAGTCCTCTGGTTTGAGCACGGTTTCTTCTTGTATCGCTTGTTTTCACGGTTGTCTGATCATTAGTCTCCTTGCTGGGGAAGAAAGAATTTTGTATGTAAAAGGGAAGAAGTGATGCAGCTGCCATCCCATCAGAAATGGACTATCATTTAATTAAGATTTTCTCTAAATTGCATAATTCCTGTTATCTCAACTGAAGAGCTGTGATGCTCTGTGTTTAGTGGCGGGCTGTTCTGGAGGGATGTCTGACTTGGAGTGTGCTGTATCAGTGCATTTAGGTGCCTAATGATCCGAACAACCTGCTTTTTAATTGGGATGTTATTGACTGAAACAACTGTTTAAAGTTAATACTCTGAATTATAAATATGTCAACTTGGGAGTATTTTATAACTCTCCTTGCAGATTCCGAGTGATGGCAAGTTTCTTCCTTCAAAACTTTTCCTGCCCTTACTTTGGGGCGGGGATCCGGGGCACTTTCAGGCCATCTTTGGTTCCAATAAAAAGGGAAAATTGACCACAAATGTGTTTTGCACAGTTTGTCTCAGACAATATGAGAGAGATTCTCCCCAAAGGTATCAATATTGCAATGGATGCAGCTGCTACTTTGGAGGATACTCTCTCAAAACACAAGGGAAGTTTTTCAGCTGAACTATAATTGTTTTCTCATCTTTGAACAGAGAAGCAGATGAGGGCTGCAAAAAGCCCTTGGAACGACTGCTTAACATCTGGCAGGAAAGGAGTGTGTATGGCAGCGAGTTCATACAGCAGCTGAAGCTGTCCATGGAAGACTCCAACAGCCCCCAGACTAAAGGTAAATGCCAGGCCCTCTGCTGGGCCCTTTGCTTTGGTTTTGAACTGGTGGGTGTTTCAGCGGAGGTGCTGCGAGGAGCTGAGCTCTGGGCTCCTGTGGTTGGGTTGTTGGCAGGGCTGGTCATGGAGACCCTCAGGGTTGTCTTGAGAGAAGTCAGGTTTTCATTAAACTTGCAGTTCCAGTTTGCAGGTGTGTTGCCTTGTGACTGGCAGTAAAGCTAAACGTCGGGTAACTTCTGCCTCTCCTAATGCAGGCAGAGTACTCCAGGGCTGCCTTTTGATGAGAAAACAAGTAGGGTGCAGGGAACTACTGCTGCATCCACCTTGAGAGCTAAAATTGTCCCATTCTACATCTGGGAGTGGTCAGCTGGGCTATTGTGATGGTTTACTCTGTATTGTTAGTGCTTTCGTTCTCTCATTTTTTAGAATCTTGCATAGTTGGTATATTTTCTTATGATTCCACAAGGACTTGTTAATAATTGAAGGCTGGAATGTATGCCCAGAAGCTTGTCTAGTCTCTTTTTTTCTTGTACTAGCTGGCATCATTTGGTGAAAACGCTAACTTTGCATCATTTAACATGGTTAGAACATCACAGCTCTGACCTTATTGTTGCATGAGAGGGGCGTGAGAAACCGAGTCTCAGCTCTTGCATCTGCTCTGCTTTCGTGCCGCTTCGGCCGGTGCTGCTGCTTCTGGAGCATCTGAAGATATTTAACTGGGGGTACTGTAATGAGAAGGGGAGCAGTGGGATGCCTGACCTGTGGGAGGTGAAGGTCATTGAAAATCCAGAGTGTTCTGGTCACGGGAATGTTTGTCCACTTGGCAGCTGAGGGAAGTGTCAGTGTTTGCAGATCAGCTGAAGTCACGCTGCTGCCCTGACCGGGTTTTGCTCTGGTCCCCACAGAGGTGTGATGCTTTGGGAGAGTTGGTTTAGTCATCAGTAAAGTGCTCCCAAACCATTCTTAGGTGGTGAAAATAAACAAGATCTGTCTGCTGGAGCTGGTAGTTAATGAGAGACAGGCATGTGAAGACATCCATCTCTGGCTGTAGCTTTGTGGTTTTTAATGTGCTGCTTCAGGGAACAGTACCAGATAGGTGCTTTGTCAGCTTACAACAGGGCCCTTACAACTTACTGTCATTTCAGTGTGACATTCAGAAGGTGTTGCCATTTTTTCCCCCAAATGCTGGGAGACCACCTGACCTGACCTGACCGAAGGGCTTGTCTGTTCTGTGTGAGGACAGGGGGAGTCTCTGCTCCGGCAGCTGGGAGGTGAACAGTCTCTACATGAAATAACTCACGTGGGGTTTCTGTTGTCTGGGTGCAACGTGTGTGACACCTGTTTGTCATGAAAGGCCAGAATTTACATGCCTGAATTTCTGTTGAACTCATTAACTGAGGGTTCAAAACTGCTAATTTGAGGTTTCCAGTCACAAGTGTTTAACTTGTCATCTAATGAAGTGATCGTGTGTGTCCGAGAAACACAGCTGTGACCGCCTGGTGAATCGGCAGCTGGCTGCTGCTCAGCGTTGTCCTCCCTTGGCTGGTGGTGTTGATCTGTCCTGCTGCCCTTATCTTCTACTTACAAATGTTTGTGCAAAATCAGACCCTTCCTGAGCGTGACAGACCTTTGTCTGTGGGAAACGGAATGAGGAATTACAAACGTTTTAAGAACTGCTGTGTGTGCATCTTCACTTGGCAAGAACCTTAGTTTTTGTCTGGGTAATTGGAGATATTAACGTGGTATCTTTTATTTGAGAGAACAGCCCAGGCCTTTTCATGAGTGTGGATATTGCTGCCTTCGTGTCAATTCATTTAAAAAAAGAAATTGAGATTTTGAAACTAAGAGGAAAAAAATTTGAAAAACTTATCAGAGTTCTCCTGAGTTTTTCTCCTTCTTTTGACTGGCTTGTTTTCAGATTAGCTTCTTAATGGCAAGAGCTGGTTTAACAGGGGATTTTTATGGATTTCTGAGATAAATTGGTGTTGGTCCAGTTTCTGAATGGACCATGATATATGTTGCAGAAGGCTTTGTTGTAGTTGCTCTGTTCCATTTTCAAACAGGTGGACATAAGCAAGATGGACAATTATGTGTTGTGTCTTAGAGGTGCAATGTTTATCATAGGGGTGGAAAACCGCAGTACCCTGCTCCCCCAAAACCATTCTGACCTGTGGGTTTGTGTGCACCCAGGGTAGCACAGCTGAGAGATGGGTTGTGTTAGTATCTGGCAGACCTTCTATTGTTTTAACTCTAAATGTATTCATTAAGCTTGCATGTGCCATGAATCACAGACTGGTTTGGGTTGGAAGAGACCTTAAAGATCGTCTAGTTTCAAACCCCTGCCAGGAGCAGGTGTCCCTGCCTGCTCCCCTCTCTGGTTTTGCCCATATTTTACTATGTTCCAACTTCCTGCACCAGAATTTGCAACGTAAACACAACCAGAGCAGATGGGTGGCAGTTCAGCCCTGTGTTAGTGTGACACTCCTACATCAGCACGCGTTCAAGGACTTCCTTCAACAGCTTATTACAAAGACAGTGAAAAGAAAACATCAGCTATATAGGTTATATCACCTGAAGGATTTTATATCAAACCTCTCCAGACCTAGTTTTCCCAGACTTTAAGATAAATGGGTGGTTCTTCTCTTCTCTGTTGCTTGTAAAAAGAAACATTTTAGTGAAATTCTTTGAGCAACCTGTTCTCTGTGCTTCTTTGCCTTCCACTGAGTAGATCTGTTCTCTGACAGCAGTGTGTTTGTGCCTGCTCAGGAAGGTGGCTCAGCTTTTCCCCGTGTCAGCAGGATGTACAGCACCTCTGGCTTTCTCTCCATTAAAATATATTTTTTTCTGACTTACGTCCCAGCTGACAAGGCAGACAAAATTCTGCCTGTAAGGACAGACCTTTCTGTTTGCTTCCTCATTAGAGTTGGGCAGACTGATTTCATTTTAAATCAAGAGTGATCTTGGACTTTCCCGTGGATGAAAGTGTGTAGAGACTCT